CGCATTATTTTTAGGTGCATAGCATAGCATTGTATGATGATTACTTCCTTTCCTTCTGAGTTGAATCTTGCTATCTTGCTATCTGATTCTGGAGGAGATTGGTTCCCACTGCATGGGAGCCTTTGATGCTGTTGGGGACATCATGATAGCCACTCCATAACTCAGTGTGCTCGTGGTTATCGTCTGGGTGATAATATCGGAGTAGATTATCGACTCTCCAGTTGACAGTTTGGAGAGTCCTCTTCCATTCCATCTGCTCTCTCAGATTCCTAGTACTTCAGTGCGATACCTTCTCATCTCGTTTGTAATCTGGGCTGCCTTGCTAGGTTCAAACATGGTGTGAACACTCTATATCCTCATGTTTATTTTCACTTTTACCGAGAGAGAGAAGACGCATCGACCGACTGGCTTCTCGTAGGCTTTCACCAATTGGCGTCATTTCGCCTTTCCAATTCCAGCGAGGAATAATTTTGCTTTTATTTTTTATATTTTGTTTGTGCTCTGAAGTTTCTTTAGCGGTTGGATTTGTTTTATGGGGTAGGGTTGCTAGCCCTTTGCCCAACTTCCCTCTTTACTCGGGCTTAGGACCGGCTGGTAACTAGTGAACTAGTTATATATATATATATATATATATATATATATATATATATATATATATAAAGAGTGAAGCTTCGCATGTGGATAAAAAAAGGAAAAAAAGGGATTTGGAGGATAAAGTGTTCTTATAGGTCCCGTCCATTCCATATCAGTTTACTGAACAAATTTCTTTCGAGCATAGAACTCAGGTTTAAAAGCAAATAAATTTTGCTATGACTACTAACTACTGGTTTTTTGAGCTCACTTTATCACTTACTGAATTATTAAATTATTTATTTTAATTCAAGATAACCCAGCCATCCTGCTTCTGATAGTCAGCATAAACAGGATTTGTGATCGGGATCAGCAAAGATAACTATCAGCCTGCATTAATCAGTCTCTGATTGGTAACCAGCATTAGCATTGTCTTCTGTTGAACAGTTTTGGTTCATCATTTCCGCTATATTACCATCATATTGGATGACTGTACGTCCTACCGCCATGTAGTTGATATTTAATGATTGAAGGTGATTGGAAAGCTAACTTGAGACTAGATTTTATACTTTTACACACTCATCAACAAAATGCACTAAGTGGACACAAAAACCTGGGTTGCGAATCCACTAACAGCTGCACTGTAAATATTGATTGGCATTATGATATAAAAGCTATACATGCTTCATGAAAAATTGATTCCTCTCGACTACATTAGGTTATGTTTAGTTTTCATATATAATAAGATGGCTGAGTACCGTTACGCGTTTCACATGCCAAAAATCCTTATACTTCCTGATACTAAGAGAGATTTTGATCTACTGGGGAGAACTGTGCCCTAGAACTACGTATGAAGTTATTAATTTCCCGAAAACCTCACATGAAAACACTCCAGTAACACGCAAGCACTCAACCACTCCCCATTACTTCCTTTAAACTAGAAGTTAGGCCACTGAAGGTTGCTTGGTCTTCTTGTTCCTCATTAGCTTTGTCACCACAGGTAAGGAAGAATGATACATATTAATGCTGCTAATTTCCATTCAGAAAGTAACAGTACATGTTTGGGTCCTGTATCAAAATAAAAAATCTAGTAAGGAGTTAGATTTATTGAAGGTGTCTAACCTGTATACTTACACATACATGGAAAAATAATTATTAGCTTTCAGTATTCACATTATATGTGATACCACTAATCTCATGCAGGATGCGCTTGTTTAGCTGTCGGATGTGTGAAATGATGCCGAATGTTTGTGGTGGTTGCATTCAGTGAGCTGGATGGCTCAAGTGTTCTTTTGAACTCGTGTTCCGTGTTTTAAAGCATCTGTCTAGCATCTACAGATGAATTCTTGCAGGTGTTTTGCCTGAATTTAAAAAAGATGGGTGAAAAATGCTTTGGTGCCTTGACATTCATCTACCTATAAAATGCAATATCCCAATGTGAGTAATTCAGCTTCCTAGGTGTTTGGTGTCAAATTCCCAAATACCAAAAGATCGATATGTTCCTACAATATAAAACTAGTGAAATATGATAGCAACATTAAATAATCGGTCCTAAATTTCTGTGAAATTTATGTGTCAGTGTAGTGGGTGCAACGTCTCATGTGTACTAACTCAGCAAATTCTTGCGGACAAATTTTTATTTGATGAAAGACTATAAAGTGTAAAGAATACTAGTTTCGATTAGCACTCACTGATAAACCCGATCTTGATGTTTGGAGTCCTATAGAAAAAATGATGCAGTGCCTCAAAGAATTGTCGAATGTGGGTGAAAACTTAGGCCAAAATCTGTTCACAGAATGAAATTAGCAGGTATGCCTAACTAATATTTTCAAAGGAGGCGGCAATTCACAATGGGATATCTCAATTTCCTTAGGAAAAAGAGGCAATATTTAATGGTTAACAATTATTTTAGCACATCAGTTCAGTTAACTTTTAAAAATTTCGGTGGATCTTCGATAAGTGATCTTGAGGCAGTGACATTCATCAACTTCTATGGGAAAGAGATCTTTTTAACAGTTAGACTGTCACTGTTCAACATTCACTATATCTCACTTCGCCTTGAACCTACTTGGAATCCCATTTATGCATACAGTTTCTATCTACTGATAATTGTTGCCAGTAGCACACTGAATAACCGAAATTTATAAACAAACGAATAGTCATATATTTATTAAACAGTATATTTCAACTAAAAAAAAGAAATAAAACAAATGAGAATATTTACAAACGGAAAATCAGCCTAAGATCAGTTCCATTACTGCTGGATATTAAACAAGATGAAGCAGATATAAACTTATTTAAATGTGTGGGGAATACTTAGAACTCCCGGAGTTTGCCGTCAGTATTTGAATACACTTGGAGACATCTTCAATGTAACAAGAAGTCATAATACAGCAGTTTAAAATTCATTTGGAGTGAAGAAAGTCACGAGAATATAATTTCGATATAAAAAATGAGTTATTGAATACATGAATGAATGAATGACTGGTAAATATTCAAGGCACATATGTGTGACCTGTGTTCATTTAGTATAAGCCAACTGTAAAGCGTGCTGTTTTCTTTGACATCTTTGGCACATATGTTATTGTTTATAGACAGTATGATATGTATCTGTGAATTAGTAAAGAATTGCTGGTGAATTTCTAATGTATATGTTGTGTTGTATTTTGCCAGGGTATATTTCAATTCAGTAAATTTTCACTTTTAGTCAATGATAGATGTTTCCACGGCTAAGACGTCGTTCACCATGTTATTGCAGTAGAAGTAAGTTGCTAATCAATGAAATAAAACGAACGCATACGAGTGAAATCGGAACAAATGTACTTTCAACTGATTACGCTATTCACTTCACATAGGATATATATATATATATATATATATATATATATATATATCAACACCATTAATAATTTGTAGATTTTAATACAATGTACTACTAAGCAACGTGAATAGTTAGGAGCTACTCATTTTGGTATGTGACTTTTGCTAGCCAGACCCGAGTAATCCAAAAACCGGACAGCTGCCTCTCTCATACTGAACTAAGCTCATCATTGGTGCACCCGGATAAATTCGGCCCATAAAGCCACGTTGTTTAGATACGCTGATTGTGGTAAGTTAACTTGAATGGAAGGGTATATCACGGATAAGATAGCCAATTTTACATTATTCACTGGTTACATGGTCACCATTTTTATTTCTCGCAACTGGATAGTTTATGCACTGCCTAACTGCGGTGTCAACAAGCTTTCCATGAGAAACTATCCAGTCAAAAAAATAACGTAATCTTTCTGACTTTAATTACACTGAAAACAACTGGAAAACCTCGATTACTACCAGAAAACCAATCTGCGATTATAATTCCGTGAGTCCTAGGGAGAACTAGTATGTGTTTCACCCACACTTGAATTTCACAAGGAGATTTCTAGGAAGTAAGACATTACCATCTAGTATATGAAACTAACTACCATAAATGCAAGCAAGTTAAATACTTTCTCACTTACTATCTAATAACGACTATGGAGAGCCTAGTAGATAGTACCTGTCTAAAAATGTTAGCCTTATCACTAACAAAAATGATTCAGGCTAGCAATGAGTAGTAAAGTACCCTAAGCGGACACTTTTCTCCAATAAGTACTACTACTACAGTATTAGATCTATCCCGCAAATAAAATGGATTAAAATCAGTGGGATGGATCTGATAAAGTGGCATTTTCAGCACCAAAAAATACCTGTGTCAAATTTATGTTTCTGATCAATGTGTCCCAAAAATTATTATCGCACCAACTACTTAGATGACTAAGTAATTTTAACTGCACCTTAGATTGCAACTTGGATATCAGAAATCATTTAGCTGGTCAGAGGTAACTTCAGTAATGATATACTGTTCACCTTAATCCTCTGAGCTCCAGTGTACTTTGTGACAGGCGTTGATTACTAATGAAAATAGTCTTATAAACTTTTAAATGAAGTCTTCAGTGTATCCTAAATTTAGAATGTCATTCTTGAGAGTGAATACTTATACAAACACCATCAGCGTCAATTAACAAAATGAAATATTTATTGCTCACTTAACAGTGTTGAATAGTAAGAGGAGAATGTTGCTGTCTGGAAAAGAATTTCCATATTTCCTCTAAAAATATTTAAAGAATAGGTATCAATTTTCTCTTACTTGTTCGTAGCTAATTGGTGAGTTATATCTGTTGAAGTACCCACCATTTCTTTTACTTAATTTCACCACACCAAATGCCGGGAGTATGTAAGGATATACTTAGTGTTTATATACTTCATTGTTGCTGCCCTGCACTAACTAGATTTCTCCATATTTATTTTGTATCAATTCAATTTCTGAGAGATTTCAATCAATTCACTTTATTTTTCCAATTACAATTGTCTTGTTTTCTCCATTCTTGTAAAGTAAGTGCAATTATATTTTAATAATCCATAAACAATAGACGATTATGACAATTTCCGGTTTCAGTGGTAGTAGTAGTAGCAGTAGTAGTAGTAGTGGTAGTCGTAATAGTAGTAGTAGTAGTAGGAAGAGGAGGAGGAGTATTTCTTTCAAAGAAATAAACAAGATGGGATATTCTATTAGAAAATACTTATAGGTGAAATTAGGAAATTTTTAATGAGCTTTTTTCTGCTGTATATATATTGAAGATTTCATTTTTGTACACAGAAGTTGAGGAAATCTCAACTTTTGGTAGGATTGCAACAAGCAATTTACAAAAATAATGACTTGATGCCTTACCATCAAGATTGCTAGATTAAATTGCTCACTAGGTCTGGATTTCAATTTGACCAGTATCAACTCCACCTGTTAGCCATGTGGATAATGTGGCGGGTAATCTGATCAGGTTTCTTCCCTGTCTTAGTAAACTACTCAAACTTAATCACCTATCCATCTGTTTGCAGGCATCAGTCCGTTAGTCAACAACACAGATTGCAGTTCATATACCAACCAAAATAGAAACTGAGCATGCGTTCTTACTTATTTTCGTTCCACGTATAAAAATAAAGCTAAAATATAGTTATTGCACTAACCGCTTTAAGAAACATGAATAGAAAAAAATTAGGAATTGTCGGATGTATGTTTATCAACAAATTTAAATATTTTATAAATCTGATTTTCTTACTTCTTGTGATATTCGTTAGATAAACTGATATCGAAATGTTTACCACCCATACGGTGATTATTCCACCTTGCCTTGTTATCATTCGTAAAATCATATTGTGTAGGTATTGCCGCATTTACTGTTGGTAACGTTGGTGTTCCAGTGATATCAGAATCCCTCTGTTCCCCATTAAAATGATTGGATAATTCAGGCAAAATAGGATTATAATTATTTTCAGAACCAGTTAAAATTGACGCTGTTCTCGTCAAATCATCGTTTAGTTTTCCACTACCTATTCCACTACTTGAAATACCTGTACTGACTGAACTATGATTATTATTATTATTATTGTTGTGGTTATTATTGACTAAATGAGGTAGTGAAGACTTTCGTGGACTGTTTAAAGTGCTATTTAGTGTAGATTGTCCAGGATTAATTGAACTACTAGATATTTGCGTCGCAAAGCTTTTTGTATGCGTAATCGTGAATTTATTATCCGCAACATTATTTTTATTATTACTTGTACAGGTGGTACTGTTGATATGACAGGGATTTAAATCACCGTACTGCTGTGAAACTGTACTTCCATCAATAGAATAATATGTACTAAATGGTGGATTATAATGTAGATTTTGCGAATTTATATCATGAATAGGCACATCATATGGGTGCATAGAGAATGGAGTTGATGGTGTGCTAAAAGCGATCATAGGATTTATATTTGATGAGTTGTTATTGACAACGTCATATGAAGTTGAATTGTGCTGATTTACTGTACTACTGTTCATAGTATTACATTGTTCATTACTCTGTATAAGCTTAGGATACTTTTCCATGACGTTTGTCATCGGAGTATTTCGTGTATTTCCCAACTTTGAAACAGACTGCATTGAAACAGTTGGAGGGATTTGCATCCAACGTTCTACACGCCTTTTGTGGCATATATCTTGGTCAACACCATGTGGACTGACTAATAAACCACTCCCACTATTATGTTTACTAAATCGAAATAAGCATTTCCCACTAAAACAAAATCTTCTCCAGGATTCAATTGTTTTATTAGACCATATCCAAAATCCAGATGTAATGCCAATAACTAAACTCATGAAATGTTTCAACATGAATACAGCATATTCTGGCTTTGGTGCATTCCATGCTGGTAGGGCCACAGGTAAAATAGGCTCATACTCATAATCTCCTTCATATTGTCGACCAATATCGTAATGGCAGTGACATGCAATGCCTAACTGCCACGCATGCGTATCACGTAATTCATAACCAATACAAAATAATATAACAAGATTTGGTATAGCATACAGCATTCCAAATATACCTATGCGTATAATCAACCTATCCAGCTTTTGTGTTTCAACTAATCTTGGTCTTTGTAGTTTGATAGCTCCACGTATACGAAATAATGCAATAAATCCAATCATCATTAGTATAATTCCAATTAATAAATATACTAATAGGGTAGAAATGTAAATAGAATAAGTGGGACTGGTTTACTCGATTGAATTGTGCATAAACCACTGACTGGATCACCTTCTACGACTGACAGTAACAAAGCTAAAGCTGTCTGACTAGCCGGTAATGACCATGCAATGAAATGGAAAACCTGTATAGAAATAAATGAAAATATGAGCAAATGTTTAAATGCCGCTTTGAGGGGGTAACCCTCAACAGAATAAAGCTAAAAAGCTACAATTTAACGTGATTACTGTAATAACACTATGTATGGCCTAATATCTATAGCAAAACCAGTGAAAATGAAAACGGAAATCCTAGCCAAGCTTTTAACATCATCCCTCTTAGTCCTTAGCACTCTGCATCAATGTAATTTTTTTCTCTTTAGAATCCACAAGTTCAAATTTTAACACTTTTTTACCTTAATAAAAGTGGATATCTTATCACAACTAAGTAGGTTTTCTGAAACTTAGTCATTTTGAAAAGTGAATTTCTTCGCTAGACAAATAAAGGACCAGCACTTTTGGTTTGCACTGATGATTTATACAGATCAATCCTTTCTATTAAAGATCATCTGGTGAGTTTGTGATCATTGTAAATAGTTTCCTCAAATATTATTCTTCATTTTTGCTTTTATTAGGTGCCACAGTGACACTTAAGGTTTTGAATAAGTACTTTTTCTAAAGATGCTCCACACGTACCTCAAGCAAATGCTCCAAGGTTATCCGTTTGTCACATAAATAAGTGTGGACTGTGAAGTTGTATAAAAATAATTTTCAATTTATTTCACGTTATTGATGATATACTGTTCTGACTGGTTCAGCTCTGTCATAAAGGAAAGAAGTATTTGTCTACAGTTAACATCATCAGGTTTCCCCTTGTAAACGTTGCTACGAATCAGTGTAATTGATTTCCAACTACTCATACTTTTTAGTATTATACTGTCTTGTATTCAGACTCGTTGGTTTTAGTAATTTTACAACAGTGAATATCACAGAGGTGGTAATTATCATCAGTGTTATAACCCATGAAGTTACTGAAACACCAAAATACTGAATGACTTTGTTACCTGACGTTTAAAATCACTCAATAGTTCTAGAATAAAATCCTTGATTGGTAATTCCCATGAATCTGACGCATCATCATGCGAGAATTCAATAGCTATGCAGCTTTTTATACCTTTCACCTGTACTCTAATGAAATAAGTAAATATTATTCTTGAACCTCTTTTTTTCCTACATAAAGGTTAGGGTTGATAACCCTAGACATTTACCATCCACCAGAAGTAAAGTACAGGCACTTATTATATATTCACAATGTAGGCATTATTAAAAGTGAAAATACTCTATAAATCAGAAATTTACCTGAGAATACTTAGATATTGCTTCACTACCCCATTTTAAACCAGCAGCAAGTAACCATGTGAGTGCAAGAACAACCCACCAGATTGAAGCTGCCATACTAAAAAAGTAAATTAACAGGAACACAGCTGCACAACTTGCTCTGCCAGTAAATGCATATCTTAACAACTTTGACCGAATTAATTTATCTGTAGATTTGAAAATATTAGAGGTAAGTGTCGCTGTAGCTGATGGCATCGTAGTTGATACGGTTGTCATCGTAGCTGTTGTCACAATAGCCGATGTTGTTGGTGTTATTGTCTGCATATTGTCAATATTCAATAATTCAGGTTTATCAAACCAATCCTTAGTAGTTTTTACCAGTCCATACGGTATCTCCCCATGTTCACTGGACAAACTATCACATGCTACAGCTTGATGACCCATAAATACTCGTATTAAATAACCAATTGATATCATAAAGTAGCATGCTGATAAATAGATTAAAGGCAGTTCAGGATATTGAAAACGATATGAGTCTGTGATAAAGGTGAATATTGTTATCAATGTTGAAATTGCACAAAATATTGACCAAATAGCGAGCCAAAACGTTGTGAAGTTATTGGATGAATCAGTTGAATAATATGGTGTATGACACGGCATTGTACAATCCTTTATGTCAGCTACTGATATCTATAAATCGGCCAGAAATAAAGAGGGTGCTTTAGGTCAATAATATGTGCATAAATTTCAGTGACAGTTAAAGCTGTCAAGAAAAGTAAACGAAAATAATCCACGGAACAATAACTTTGAAGCAGTCGAAGGCGGTTTTGTTTTGCTATTTTATCGTGTGGCTCCTCAACCAGGAGTCGAACTCAGGCCTTCCATGTGACAGACAGAAATTTACCGATGTGTATTTAAGGAAAAGGGACATGTGTGACAAGTTATTGTTGCAAGGCAGCTCAGTTTGTAATGATAGAACTACCCCTGGCTTTGATCGCAGTCGGTGGGTTCAGGCCACAGCTAAGTGGTAACGTTTAACGATAAATGGCTCCGCGTATCACAACGAAGTATCAGAGCTCAGAGAAAACCAAACCACCATCATTTTCATCCTGAGCTACAAGTCTTTTTCATCGTTTTAGTGCAGTTATTCAGCTTTTCTGGATTTCTATGGAACTACACAAATCATAGGCACTAAGTACTAGAACGTTACTTATTTACACAATCGATACCCACTTCCCTACATGAATTCGCTCACTGGTAAAGTGTACAAGCACTTACAACTTCTCGCCAAGTTATGTGGACTGCACTCAAGCCTCAATGAAAACATTATAAATCACTGAGATGTAACTTATACATTTAATGACCACAAGATGAGACAAAACGCCTAGCCTAAATCTCACTGTTTGCTACGAACAAACACGCAATATCAAATAAAGTTTTTCAAATTATCTCAGTTTGGGATCCAGTACTAAATAGTTGGTTTATCCATCATAATTAACCTTTCAGAGTACATTTTTAATCACGTTTCATAAATTTACCACTTTCATACTATTGTGTCTTTTCATCTCCACGTAAGTCTCAGTATTCCCGGGGATGATTAATTAGATTGTAAGAAAGTAAATCTAGGTCATGAAAGAATACAACAATCAGTTTTCCAATAAAAGCGATTACAAACTGCATAACAAACCAATCACCTTAACCATATATTCTTGTATTATTTTAACCTCCTTATGTACAATTAGTAACGTGAACTACCAACCTCCAACCATCTTTTCAGTGTAAAGTGGTACTCTGTCTCATCATGAGTGCCATAAAAGACTACAACAATAGATAAGTGGTCACTTCTGTCAAGTGTAGATGCTTGTGCCTGATACAAAGTTGAAAATGAATAAACATAAAATAAAACAATGCTTAGTATACCAGACACACTCAGTTTTCAAATTATACAACAAATGTTTTTATTCTTCAATGTGCATACAGTACCAGTAAAAAAGTAAGTTTTTTTAAAAGCACTCTAAAACTCAACCGAAAAAATTGCTTCAAGTTTCTTACGTTAGATGATCACGAGGATGTTATGCATACTCTGAAGAAAACAGCTAGAGAGAGAGAATCACAGCATAATCTGTATTAGGCATTAATAAGGTAATTCAAGTATGGAAAACAAAAAATTGTCATCACATTGTCTAGATGGACAATATTGTGTATACCAACTTCATTGAGAAGTGAGAGATATCTACAGGCTAGGTGACCCTGAATTTGACTATTTTTAAATGGAGAAGCGAGTTTCATCAACGTCACAGAAGATAAATGAAGCATTCATGCAACTTGTAAGCATCCTTCACTTGTTTAATAAGTTAAAGTTGGTAATATCAGAAAACTGAACAGTTTCTATCCTAATTCTGGGGTATAAAGCTTTTCAGTTACCTTAAATGAATCAACATTTTATCTGGCAAATGATTTCGGAAGTTCATTTTATTACTGTTTGCATTTTTGACTAAAATTCTGAAGCTGACTGATAAGCAAATCGGAAGAAAAATATGAGGAGCAATAAAATATACAGTTACAGAAAAGCAGAAAGATTATTACTGTACATTGACAAATGTATCATATATGAAATCTTGTATAGAAACTTCTGATCAAAAATGGGAAAATTTGTTATCAAAATAAGCCAGACTGTTTATCTATACTACAATAGCCTGACAAAGTTTTTTTCAGATGAAATATGGCAGTTGTGCTGCGATGAAGGAAGTGACCGCAAAATATCTTATAAAATTAGAATCTATGAGGAATTGTTTCTATTGTCAGTACTTCTTTCGCCAATTATTGCTTTACCCTCACTCGATCCGAAATATTTAGATCTATATTCTAAAGTATAATTAAAGAATCTTTGAATGGCAACTGAGCATCCTGAGTTCATCAACAAAGGTGACCATCGTTTTTGATCTTCTTTCATAAGTCGAATAGCAGTAAGCATAATGTCCTGGGCTTCACAAAAAACGAGTGAACTTCAGAATAGTCTGTTAGTTTTTATGCACTTAAGAAAGACTTCTCACAAAATACGGTTCAGTAAATCACGTAGAGAATATTCGCTCCCGCGATTTCAATCTTTCCTTAAAAATTTTATAAGCATTGAAATTTTTCTTTCCGACATTTGTCAGTAAGATACTTTTCAAGGTATTAGAGAATTTTTCTTTTTTAATTTTTTTAGTAATGATTTTAGATGTATAGCTAATTTCTTCTAAATTCCCGAACAGGATTTTCCATTCTTAGCCACCAGTGTTATCTGTGCATATCCTTAAGGTTTTTGAAGACGTAGGGCATGTTAGGTGTTGTTTGACTGATAAAAGTAACATTATCTTGGGTTTTTCTAAACAGTCAACCAAAGTAGACCAAATACGTGATTTCATCGCTACATCACTGAATCGAACAAACAGCTGATTCGTTATTCTTCCAACCGAAACGCTAAACGTTATGTCTGCAGTCTTTACTGAAATTATCAATTTTTACAAATGAAGCAATTAAGAACAGCTTTCAGGTTACTAAAAAGTATAAAATGTCTGATATAAACTAACTTATAGAAAAACACTTCTTGATTTGTTCAGAAAGGAAAACACCAACAACCAATCAGTCAATCATTAGAAGTTAATAATCCATTTTAAAAATTTGTTTTCTCATCGAATATACTATAAGACAGTTGCCATATTTCGTATGTGGTAAACACTTGGCTAAAAACTAAGAACAGATCCATAAAACAAACACAGACACACGGGTACGCATATGTTCAAAGGTCTATAGGAAACCTACATGACATTATGATAAGATGTATGCCTGTTTGATTACTAGTAGAACCACTCTATGTTATTGTTTTACTTTCGTTGATCATCCTTCTTTTGACGACCACCTGCAGCGTTCAGTGATTATGCCTATTCTGTTTTCACTTTCTTTATTGAGTCATATTTCGAATGGACCAGATTAGTATTTCTTTTAATGTGCAGATTGTGAATGTGCATTATTTGGATACTCAAGTAATGATTACTTAGTTTGTACTTCCTAAACGTCACCATTTTTATTTACTTATTGGACAGTGACTACTAATTATTGATGTATTTGTTGCACATGCTGTGAATGAATCGATTACAGCTAATTTCACTATTCATTTTTAGCTATATGATTAGTCCGCAAAGATGAACTTGGCTTCTCTTATGTTTACAACAGATGTAAACTTGCATTTTAAAATAGGAGTAGATATGAACTGATATAGGGAGGATAATAACGTAAACATCCATACAACGACAACAATAGACCTGATTAGTGTGAACAGTACCTGGGAAATACTGATTGAATTCTCTAAACTGAATCAAAAGCGTTGAGACTAGATGTAGAATTCAAGAGGGCAGCAGTCAGACAGTCAATGATAATATGTACCTAGTGTGACTGGGAAGCATGCTACGAAGGATAATCCAGTACATTTCCTTAACTATAACTGCATTTGGAGTAGAAATGGCTTAGAATAGTTTGTAAAGTTATCCGCTTCTGATCTAGACAGTGTAAGAACTTGGTGACTACTTGACTGAGATAATAAAAGTATTAGGAATGAACAATTAGATAGTTTGAAGTGTATTCTAGTGAAGCACATTCAATTGATCCTTATCTTCTTCGGTGTTGATCAACTCATCTCTTTGCATTTACATATCCCTTCTCAACTTTCATTCTCACTCTTATTTCTATTCTATTTCCCCTGACTCTTTTACTCTATGCTGCCTTTGTGAGTAGCGTTAATCAAAGTACTCTGAGAACTTAAAGTGCTTACCAGTATATATGTTTCACTTCTAGTTACTTCTTGTTCATACACCACTGTTTTTTTTCAAAAACTGCATGCAACGTACTGTACACCATAAAAAAAGATAGAAGTGTTCTCCTATATGGAATTTCTTTTCAGATAGAGAAAGTCTTCACATCATCTAAATCCTTAGCTGCATAAACTCATAGTTACTCTAAGATAATCACGTTCCAAGGTCTGAAACAATTCATAATGCCTCCAAGAACTCTAGATTTGTTAATTTCTTATCTACTGATCCGCCATGAAAACTAATATGAAACTGGCATTGTTCAGGAGGAGTTATATTATCCTAACCATTTATTAACTATAAATCAGAAAAGAAACATTTAGTCACGAATTTTCTTTTGCCTTTTAACAAGAAAAACTACGGACTTTTTATTTGAACTAACTTTCTAGTTTTAGGCAGGACTTTAAAGGCTGCTTAAATATCAAGTTTGTAAGTAATTTCCAGTATATTTTTGACAATAGATGCAGATGGACATTTATCACCTTAACTTATGTAGATTATTAATTCACACTCAAATCCACACTATAACAAGATAAGTACGTTATCAGATTAAAGTAAGAGTTGAAGAAATTGATAAATGGCTGACTTATCGAAGCTTTTAAATTAATAATAGGCTTGCTGAAGCTCCCGAAGGGGATTTGACCCCATTTTGTAAGTATATGATGGAGTATGCACCTCTTAAATATTCCGAATACAGATTAAACACATTTCTCCTATTTTTGATAATTTTGCAGATACTACTAGTGTATTGAAGAAATATTCTCACAACTTTCAGTCTATTCCAACCCTTTCAGATGTTTTGTTATCTCTATTTGTTTATCAACCGGTAAGTCTGTAATCTACAAGAGTTCTCAAGTTCTTACGACGTAGTAGGGGCCAATTGATCTCTGTATTTCAACCAGTGGTTAGGTGGTGATAGTTGTCTACCTTTTCATCCACGTAACTAGATACGTCTGGTCTGATTTTCTACAATGTTTAGACTTCTAAAATGGTGTATTCAGCTTCAGCCGTTAAACCTAAGTCAACCATAGTAATATGGTACTAAAACGACTAAGAAAGATAGGTATCTTTAAAGCCTTTTTGATACGCCTCTGTTTATGTAGTCACTATGTAGTCACTAAAAAAGAGGTGAGGCTCTTAAGTGGTTTCGGCGTCTGCGTTCTTAAATATTTTAATTTTATCCTTTATAACGTTTACTGTAAACTTTTCAGTTACTGTTTACATTCTCACAAGTGCCATTTACCGCGTATATTAATTTACTGGTAATTTTAACAACAATATTTATCTTATGTATGTTTTCCTTGATCCAAGGTAAACTAGCAACCAGTAGAGGTGCAAATCATACACTAGATGAGGTTTGCAGTAGATTGGAAAAGGTATCTTGGGAAACCAGAGAACTATGTCAGAAATTAGGCCTTCATGGATTTCATGATCGGAGTATCCAAAAGTTCTGTTACACTATCACATTGAAAACGGGTCAAGCAACTTCAAATTAAAAAAAACACCATGGACCTTTCTAAACTCTTTCGTAATTAAATGCTACATATAGACTAGCTTTTAACAGTCCTACTGTGCATATAAACTGCTACATTATCTCCTCGAAATTTGCTTAGATGAACCAGGCTTTTAGGAAACCTTCTTTATTTCATACGGTTTCAGGCAATTGGCAGGAATCGTTGTGCTGAAGTTTTATCTTAAATAACACTAGTCAGCAAAGCGCATCTACAACCTTGAGGAAACTCATCTTCTGTGAGAGATTGGAACTCATGTCAACCAGTACTCCAGTTAAGGATATTACCAATGAGCTAGTTAGACCGCAAGTGACCTCTTGTGAGACTGGAATACATTCACTGAATCATCATTGGAGAGCAATTTCACATTTTTCATCCCTAAGTGTTGACAGAATCCTATTGACATTTTTTTTAATTTCATACACATGATATCACATCATACTCTTTGGCTTAGTCATAACAATAAAACATTCTCTGTAATATACATGACTCAGAAAGTTTACCTATTTAGAGTAACGAGAGTTCATGAGCGCCTTGTAACAGAATATGTCTTTGATATCATAATTTGAGTTTATATACTTAAATCCCAGCGCTGTGAATCCCCATCTTCAAATTATTTCCAAATCTTGCTATTACTTTCTCAAGTCACAATTAGACAAACTGGTAATATCGAAAATTTTGAAATGTTATGTTTACTTGCTGAAATGAGCCTTTTGAGAGTCTAGTATACTAAAAATGTTACGTTACCCTTTGTTACAGAATCTTCTTATGATTACTCAGCTCTGAAATCCAACCGTTTAGTTTGCCTGGAAGATAAGTACGGTTCTCATCCTTATGCCATATTTAGTTACACAAGTAATAAGTAGACTTTTTTAAATCATTGATTTTACCTTATTACCTTTCCCTAAAACATCAACATCTAATTTCCATTGGAGAAAACTTTTATGTAGTCAGGTTTTAAACACCAGCCAATCCTGTTTCCCCGCATAGTTCTGTTACCACAAATAGTAATCTATGCGTAATCTCCTGGTATTATATTAAAGCAACTAATCACCTGGCTAAAACTAACTTAAAAAGATAGACTAAACAATGTGAAGCGATGGTTCTCATAGAAATGAAGTTTCGGAAATTGCTAATTATCCTTTCAGTTGTTATAAAATGAGTTCTACCCATAACCTGGCAAAATACTTCAAATAATATTGTATAGACACAAAAGTCCCATTAAGTGGAAGACGAAGTCATTTTATCTAGAAACGAGCTAAATAAATGAACTGAGAACCCTACTAAATATGACAAACCGATCATTATCTACAACAACACCTGCATGAGTACCATTTATTAATGGAACAACAGAGTTAACTGTAACTTATAAATATTTTTCTTTAGAGATGTTTTTTACTTGAAGAATCTTTAGGTTTACCGAGAAATATGTAGAGCAGAAAACTTCAGGTAAGCACGTGAACAGTTATATGCTTCAACAGATCTGTTTTCGTTATTCTTTAGGAAGAAAGATCTAAACAAGTAGTCAATAGCTAGGTGATAAATTCCTATATCGAGGACCATCAATGACATCGTTATACTTGAACAACCAGTTAACTTCGTGACTGTCAAGATATAAAGTTATGCAGCTTTGTGAAAATGCATCCAGTAGATTTCTTTCACAAAACTTATTGAGTAAGTAAACGTCAGTTGTCAAAACTGTCAGTAATATGAGGTACTCAGTTTTCCTTTGTTCAAAGGTACGTTATTTGAAGAAATAAAATATCAAAAAGGCCTAACAGTTTATCTTAGATGGAGAATAAAAAGAAGTAAATGGTGATATGGGCTGCCTGACCTATTTTCAATATCTGTTCAGTTGTTCTTACCTTGGCATTGGCACTCACATCCGAATCAGTAATCTTTACCAACGGTGGTCGACATTCACATGTACACTTCAATCGTAAGTCAGGAAATGTGCTCTTCAGTTTTTTAATATCCTCATTTCTCATCGCTCTTTCAAACAGTATATTACTTGCATCTTCATTGAGTTGATTTGTATGAATGTCAGTATCAGATGATGTTTTCAGTTGGTCATCTGCACTTATTACTTCTATACTGGGTATTAGTTTTAAATCTTTTGATACTTCTTCTAACTGAATTATCGGCTGTTGAGTCACTTTCTTCTGTTCTTCACTCGACTGCAATTCTTCTTGTGTCAAATTTCTTTCCATGCACAATATACCTTCAGGATTATTATATTCAGGAAATTGTTCACAGTTCATGCGTTCAGGCCAAGGGAACTCATAATGTTCCATAATTGGTGAACAACCAGCTTTAACACGCTGGCATACAGAACGGCATGGTGGTAAAAAATGTGGATAGCCTTTTACACAAATAGGTGTATAAATTGAACATAATAGAAAGCGAAGATCTTTCGAACAATTGATTTGAACCAATGGATAAAATTGATGAGCCTATAAAATACAGAACAAAAAACTATCTGCTGAGTGAAAATTAATCAATTAAGTAATGTGAAATCAACATTCATTACAGCCAGTAACAACCAACTTGTTTATAAAGATATCCAATTTTACTATTGAAGAGCATGAGTAAATGCAAACCACTCACACTGAAATACAGATTTTATTAGCCAGATCATAGTGGTCTAAACATCGAATGATCGTTTCACTCGTTTGGAGACAAGCTTATCACCAATGTACCAGAAATATTAAAGCCATAGGGCTAAGCTATATAAATTAATTTTTGGATTTATTGGGATTTTAGTGATTTTCCAAGTTAATATTCATCACTGAATGAGGAGTCCCATACAAGGACGAAACAGCTGTCCAGTGCTCGCAGCCTTCCAATGTTCCTCTAAATGCTGTCAGGCTACGATAAACACCAACTTGAATCACCATTAAAATTCCCACAAACCTCCAAATTAAGTTGATTTAACGCTCATCAGTGACTAGCTTCGATAGGTAATTTCCGGAGTCCTAATAAGAAGTCGTGACCGGTGGTGCAAACTTGCTGGCTGTGAGGACATATACTCAACAATGACATTGGGTGATGGTCGCGCTAAGTCGTGAACTGGTAGAAGTTTGAAATATGGACCAGTGGATTTTTACTCACTTACTCAATGGTAGCGTTCTAGACAAAGAACCTGAAGGTGCTGGGTTCGATCCCTGGCAGGCGGGGTTATGGGTGCCCACTTCTGAGGAGCCCCATACTAGGACAAAACAGCCATCCAGTGCTCAAAGGTTTCCACTGTTCCTTCAACTGATGTTAGTCCATGATGAATATCAATTTGTTAAATTATTTAAACGGGGATTTTAATTTATTTAAATCAGTTGTAAGTACATATAGTATTTCTCTGCTGCACCTGAAAGCCTCACCAGATTATTATCATCATCATCACTTTCGTCCTTGTTATAGTTATTATTCAGTCCTAATGCCCAAAGTACACATATTTTCATTCAGGTAATTGTTTTCTGCCCCATATATCATTCATTGTCATTAAAAGGCATTTTTCAAACACTTTGTTGGTTCCTTCATGTCATAGCTTTCCAAAAGAATTTGCGTTGGCGATTAACATTCCATCTTTACTCATCTGTATATTCTTTTAGAATCACATCATTTTTACTATCTACTTTTAAAGGAAAAGGATACTATGCAATAAGGGTTTTCAAAGAGAAAGAATCATATTCCTTAGTGCATCCTCGATTTTGACGGTATTTTAAGTAGTATATATGTGCTAACAATATCTACGAAATATCATATTTTGAATTATGTTTTACTTGGTTTCAAAGTGTATTTGTAATCACCTTAAAATGAAATCTCAGACGGAGTTATAGACCATTTTTTAGCAGGGGAGATTTGTATATTAGTGAATCGATCACCAGATAACAGCTGTCTTGTTGCATTTGCCAGTATTTTTATCGAGCAGCAACATCTGATATTTCTAAGCTGTTTGAATATCATTCGGTGTATATACTATAACGATGCTCATCTGTAAATATCAAAAAATGAAATCGCCACAAGACCAAAGTTTTAAATGTTTTGTGGTATATCCCTATAGCTTAATCACTTCATTTTTAGCATTTATCATGAATCATAATCCGTGGCATAATTACATAGAAAATGAAATACCTCTAAAGTCTGTGCACTGAACATGTGAAGGAAGCAGTCATCAATTTGTTTTACACTTGAGGTCCATGGAGCAATAACAACAGTTGAAATGGACAGTCATGAAGACTTTAAAGAGAGGGTTACATACAATTAGAATAACCTCCACTAGCACTTAAGAATTCAAGTGTATTTGCCATGGAAAGGATATACAAAAGCAAAGAAGAGGACTTGGACCACTGTTTCCGATCTTGCTGATGAACGTTAACCCACTGGCCACGAAACTTAACGGTTGTTGGCGTAATCTCTTATTCTTTGGTACGTTCAAACTACTGAGTAACCTCAAACCAGGAAGAAATATCTCTTTGATGCTCTTAGAATCGAAGTTTTCCTTTAACTAATGTCACTCTACGATAAAAACTACCTTAAAATCTGCCATATCTCTTGAAGCAACTTAGAAAAGGCCATATCAAACAGAAAATCTTCTCAAGCATAAACAGAGAACTATTAGCAAGCCAATCAGACTTTAACAGTAATGAACAAGTAGACCACACCAAGTTTTTTCCTCTATTGTCAAAGCCATAGTCATCAGAAAGCACTTAAAGTAACACTTTTAACAAAACTAGTTGACATTATTAAGAGGAAAGCCATTGAAATAAGAAAAAATGTCTTTTCCTTGAAGTGACCATGAATAAATAAATGACAAGTGGCGAAATGATTTTTCACAAGATATGCATATATGCATGCATTGTTTTACTTGTTTTATCCACCTCTTATGGACACCTTACTACCTGTATATCTAAGTGCAGATTATACGGTATATCTGTGGAAGAAGGAAGATTTGTATATACACACATATATATTCAAGGATGCATTTTTAGATTGATAGCCATGTGACTTATCTGCACAAATCTATCCCCCTACAATAAAGTTTTCTCCCATACTAGCACTAATTCTAACCATCAGACACAGACACTGTGAACAAAATCTATGCCTATAAAGTAAATCATTTTACAAATAACTGTCAATCAAACAGTAATAAAATTTCATATGAGTCACAATACTCCATTAAATGAAGGATTGTTTCCCTTTTCCTTCATTTTTCTTCTACATCCTTTCATTATATGCAAAGTATGAAAAAAAGAGGTGAAAGATAGGTAGACAAGTTCATAAGTAGTGAATACATCACCTATAGATGAACAATATTGACTAATTAAAGTCAATTGCAGTCAAATATCCTTATGGTGACTCGTTTACATATTGATAGTTATAACAGACCTTATTCTGCTACAGAAACACAGAGAACTATAGACCAGAAATATTCCGTTACAGGTGACTGATTTATGCAAATGAATGTATATCTATATCTACCAGTAAATTAAAATGACGTATATATATATCGCAATCCAGTAGTTAGGATTTTTATTCTTACAAGCAATGCTGGTAAAATATTGTTGGCAGAACATGAAGAGTTTCGTTACATTCCCTTCAGAAAAGTACAGGTTAAAATATTTCGGTATAAGCATATTTTTTAACTTGGAAATATTAAGTACACCAAAGGCTAACAAAACTTTTAAAAGAACAGAAATAGCTTGAAAGAAAACTAAATCAACGAAAATTCGGAGTTTTGTATTTAATCAGTTAGGTGGTGTTAAAGAAGACAGTAAATCACAGTAAAAAAGATAATGATGATACAGTTTGATTGCAGTTATATTCATCAGGATGACTAGCAGTGGAATCCTAGACGCACGTTGTCCACCATGCCACTGATTAGTATTAAAACAACAGTTGATTACAGTTAGTTTTATTCACAGTGAAAGGAAAACGTAATGCTTGTCTCCCTCGGATACCTAACACCAAACTATTGATGCTGCCTAAATCAAAACACCAAGATGTAGCCCTCAAGTTCTTATAACCACAAGAAGTTGATCCGATGCTGAACAATGCTATTCACTGATTATTTTGTGCGTACTTTTAAGGTTCCACTTGATCTGAGACTCATATCCGAGTGCTTTCCCATTGCTTTAATGGTATATAATATGTCAGCTGTTATGAGACGAAAAAATATCGTACTCACTTGGTCTGGAGTGACAGTGACTCATTCAAACGGGCAGCATTTTTAAATTAAGGAATACCTTATTGTGTGGTACTTCGATACTGGAATTATGTGAATGAGAAAATTATTTCAAACTGTAGCATTATTTGAATGAACGAAAAAAATTTGTCAGGTTTGTTTCTCTGATATCTTGTGCACGGTAAACGGACATAATACTGGGACATATCAGAATAACCATTTTACCTGGAAAAAATGTATTTATCTATTTATTTATATTTTCGTTCTCACTCTGCCTTTTCTACTGAGCATGACTTCCTTGTAGTGTATATATATATATACATAAATATATTTAATACAGTGATTTTTTCCGACCTGGTTAAGTTTATTGGGTGGAATCCATGCCAGCTGAGATTACACCAGATTCAGTTTTCCATCTTTTCAGATGTAAAGCGTATCAATTTTGAAATTAAATTAATTTCTTTGTTGTTGAATAAACATCCCTTTTCACATTCTAAGAGAACTTCCTCATTCATCTACTTATCAGTTTGACTATCTAAAATAGCCAAGGTTCCACATACATATATTGTTGGTGGTGGTCCAGGTAAAGTGAAAATCCGTATCGTGCCAGAATTCATTCCACTGCAGCAACAGATCTACAAGTTCGGGTGTTGACCAGACTTTAATTTCACTTTAATAACCAAAGGTTTTGCAGACTGCTATATAAATTAGTGATACATCACTATTACTCGCTCATATTCCACATAACTGCCCAGCCTAGACCTCTTATTCAAATTTGAATCTAACTGAATTAGATAGAGTAGCGTCATACTGATTATCAGTCTGACTGTGTATGATATCAACAGTGTAGCGGATTTTTAATCTAAAGGCCACTAGATTGAATCCCGGCGTGGCGCAGATTTTCATTTTCATTTATGCCCAACAGTTTGCTTCTGCTTGCTTGCATACATTCGAAGAAAATGAAATATATGTGTATACTAAAATAAATAATACACGTGATGTCCGCATTTCTTGCTGAATGTACACTGTACAATGCACCTAGGTTTTGTATGTAATCATATTTGTAAGGCATCGATAGGACTTATATTCTCAGAAAATCATGTCCGGGCCACCTAATATGAACCGTTATTGAGTTGTTTGAGATGCAAATGAGCTTCTGTAAAATCAAATTAAAAATTTAAAAAAGTTAATGTATTATAAGTCACTGTTTAACAAACTAACAGTAGAGATATTAGACTGTAACTCATCGGTTTGAGTATTCAACTCTCAAACAAT